AAATAGTCATTCAATATTATAACTGATAAATTAGAACTAAGGGCAATTGTGAAATACTGTTTACAAGTTAACATTGGGGTCAAATAACCTTTTAAAGATAATATGATATACATTTCATTCTGTCAAAGGCTAGAAATGGACAAAGATGACCACTCACATTCATCACTACTGACCCAATTCTGACTCTTGTATGCGAATACAGCATTTCTAACAAGATGTCAATATAATATCTGTCTCCCTGAAGACATCAGTACTGCGGCAGTATTCTATTCCACTTACTGTTGACCTATGATCTGGAAATGCTTATTGCCTTTATAAGCATGTCTTGTTTCTGTCCATCCAGCTCAATATCTTACATTTGATATTACCTGAATATGATTTCTCAAGAAATAGGAAGTGTGGCTAGCTGTACCAGCTCACTAATGATTTCAAGGAAAAAGACCATTTCTACTTAATCTGGGGAGCAAATTACTGCTCCTGGAGTTTTCACAGATATATTCTGGGTTCCCAAAAAATGGTCTATAAGAATAGGAAATTGAGGGGCTATCAGATGGTGTAGCGGTTATGTTGCTGGATTCCCACATGGCCAACTGCAGTTCAAGTCCCAGAACTGATGGTTTCAAAATCACACCATGCACGTGTACATGTGTGCCCAAGATCCCAGGAGGAGAATGGAGGAGGAGGGATAGTGGCATGGCCATCCTTCCTGTAGGGTGATTTCTCACTTTCCCTCTCACTGTCTCTGTCTCTGTCTGATGAGTCCACACACCCAAAGGCTAAAACACACACACACACACACACACACACACACACACGAATTAAACTTGATCAAAATTAATTTAAACTATCATTGTTCTCATCATCAAACTTGATTTTTTCTGGAACTTTCACTTCCCCTTAATAGTTTGTAAATACTCACCAACTCAAGTTTAAAGTCTAGAAATTGCCTATAACATCTAATTGATGAGCAAAATGGAAAGGGTCTTGCATAAACCAAGAAGAGCAACAACTGTCCACAGTGTAAGTTCACCAATGGCAAGAGGAAAAGTGGAATAAAGGCCAGAATCATCTTTGACTATAAAGCAAGTTAGTGAAAATCTACATCCACTAAATGAAATTGCAGTAATTTTTCTGTTTCTGCTCTTGCTCTTCTAACATCCATTCTCCTTGATACAATCTGAAAAGCACAAGTGAGACCATGTTGATCTCCTGCTCTCCTCCATTCTCGGCCTCCATCAAAGTTCTCACCAAGGCCCGCAAGATCCTAGATATGCTAACCCTGGCTATCTTCTCGATAACATTTCCTGCCAGTATTCTCCTAACTTACTTATGTTTAATTAAAAACAGAATCGGATTTCAATTTTCGCTATAGAGTGCAGACAACTGGTATTTATTGAGTGGGGACATATAGTCTGTCATTTATAGTCTGACTTGTTTTGCTTAGCATTAAGTCTTCCGTATTCATCCATTTTGAATCAAATGTCAGGGTTTCATTGTTTTTTATGCCTGAGTAGTATTCTGTTCAGTACATACACTGCATGTTTTTTTGGAAGGCAACCATAGATACTAGAGATGGTAAGGATGGGGTAATATGGAGATGGGTAACAGATGGAGGGAGAAAGGGAAAAGGGGTGGAAAAGAAGTACATTTAATTGACAAAAAAGAAAAACAAAAGCTTTTTGCTGTTGACAATGTGTATAGTAATGTCTTTGTCTTGGCTGATATGCATGGTATTTGTGCTGAAAAAAGAAATACATACTGTAAAGATATATGTGATTAAATATAAATTAATTTTTTTACATTAAAAAAAGAATAAAAGGACAAGGGTATATAGATATTCCTTGTGGATTTATTTCAAACAACAAAAAAAAAGTTTACTAAATGTTTATTTGGTTAAAAGGACAAGGATATATAGATGTTCCTTGTAGATTTATTTCAAACAATAAAAAAAAAAGTTTACTAAATGTTTATTTGGTTAAATAAAATATGGTGTAACCATCCCAAAAAAATCAGAATTAGAATCAGAATAACATAATAAATTCTCAAATATCTATGTTCTAGAACATGCCAAGCATGCTTCTCTCTAAGGACTTCTCTATTTGCTATCTACCATTTGGAATGTTCTTCTCCTAGATGTTTCCTTGATGCATTTCTTCATCTCATACAAACCTGCACCAGTGTCTCTGCAGGAAACAGAATCCATCTTGGATCATCTTATGAAGAGAAATTAATGAAGAAACGTTTTCAAAGGTAATCGTTAAGGCAGCTAGGGATTAGAAACAAGAGTAAGCTTAAACCATCGCTAGACCTGAGGAAGGAAAGGTAAGAAACAGTGCTAGTGCAGCCAGTGAGATTCAGAGCTGCAGCGGTGCGATGTGGGGGAACGGGAGGTTGACTCTCTAGTAGAAGTCATCCACAAAGCAGGAAATAGGAATAGGAGATAAAAAGAAACAGTGCTACTGCAGCCAGTGAGATTCAGAGCTGCAGCGGTGCGATGTGGGGGAACGGGAGGTTGACTCTCTAGTAGAAGTCATCCACAAAGCAGGAAATAGGAATAGGAGATAAAAAGGAGGGGTAGAAGCAGAAGAGAATAGAAAGGAGAATACTCTGACTTAACCTTTCCCTTTTTCTCCCTTGGAGCCCCTCTGCTACCAAATCCTGGTTGGAGCTAGTGATAGAGAACCAGAGGCAAGACTGTCATTAGTCAGCCTCCCTGGGCCAGAGCCAGGCAGGGAAGAGCAGAGGTTGGGTCTGGAGGACAAATGTAAAATGACTAGACAAGGACACTACTCACCTCTCAATACCTCCCAAATAGGTCACCTCTCCAAAAAGATCATCAAGGATCAGTCTAAAATGACACCCCATGCATACTCTATTCCTTCACCAAACTTTATTATACCATCATCATCATTATTACCTGACATTACATTGCATGCTTTGTTTCTTTGCTATCCATCACACTAAAATATAAGCTTTAGAAAAGCAGGGATTTTGTCACATTTATTCACTACTATATCCCTACAATTCTAAAATAGCTCCTTCAGCATAGTAAGAGTTCAATGTTTACTGGAATGGATGAATGAATTTAATACTCCCTTAGTTATTCAAAAGTATTTGTGCTTAATTAAAATCAGAATGATATGATAATCTCTCAAATGTCTGTAAATAAATTATCTCTGCACAGTCCCTCTGGACTCTAATCCTTTCTATGCTCTAAAATAGCTTTCTCATTAACTTACCCTGTAGAATAACATGAATTCAAATAAATTTGATCCTTGTTTTATAGTGTTGATATACATATATGCCTATACAATATATTTTTTAAGAATTATTTATTTATTTAATTACATTTGTCATTATTATTTTTTAATTTGACCAGAGAGAGAAAGGGAGAGTAAGAAAGCAAGCCACTAGGTCCAGGACTTGAACTGCGGTTGGCCATGTGGGAATCCAGCGCCTTTAACTACCATGCCACTTGCTCACCCCCACCAATATATTTTATAAAGCTTTCTTTCATATATTAAAATAGAGACCAATGAGCCCAGCCGTGGTGGTACACGCTACTAAGACATGTGCAGGCTGGGACCTCTGGGACGCCTGGGTTTAATTCTGGTCCAATCTAAAGGCTGGGGGACAGGGAGTGTGACTGTAATCCCAGTGATGACTTTGGAAGACTGAGGCAGGAGGATCCCAAGATTGAGGCTGATATAGTGGGACCCTATCTAAGAGGGCTGGGCACAATGGCACGCACATGTGGTCCCAGCTATTATAGGATGGGACCACAGGATGTTCACAACAAAAGACCCTGTCATACACACCCCCACACACATGGAATCTGAGAATTGTAGGAAATATCAAAATTCAATGAGGCCAACCTTGAACTCAACACATGGACATTGTCTGTGCTGGTCTTAAATGGTAGGGAGTGAAGAAGGAAAATGTAATACCTTCTCCAGAGAACATGTTTCTCCTTAAAGTCTAGACTTCAGAACATCATTCTTCAGCATGGGTGGGACTGTGAACATAATGGTTGTCTATCTCTTCCTCTCTAGACATTATATTTTCTTTTCTTTCTTTCTTTTTTTTTTGAGAGGTTTTTGCTATAGGGCATGCACGCTCACCAGCAAGACAGAGACAGAGAGATAGAAAAAGAAAAATCACCCCCCAGGAGATGGCCACACCACAATCCCTTCTCCTCCATCCTGCTCTTGGGATCTTGGGCATGCACGCACACACGCATACACACCTGGTGTGAGTTTAAGCCACTATGTCCAGGACTCAAACTTCAATCAACTACATGGGAGTCCAGCGACACAGCGATTACACCAACTGCTGGTCCCACTAGACATTCTATTTTCATTAACAAAGCTTGAAAGTAGAAGTTTTCTTTTTTTGAATGATTTTATTTATTTCAACTGCTGGTCCCACTAGATATTCTATTTTCATTAACACAGCTTGAAAGTAGTTTTCTTTTTTTGAATGATTTTATTTATTTATTTATTATTTATCTTTTAATTTGATCAGAGAAAGACAGAGAGAGAGAGAGAAAATAAGTGAGACAACAAGCCGCCAGGTCCAGGACTCAAACCACAGTCAGCCATATGGGAGTCCAGTGCCTTTAACCTCTTAACCAGAACGCCACCTGCCATGCTGAAAGTAGAAGTTTTATTATTTCTCCACAGCTTCACTACATTGACCCTCACTGAACTTTTTCTGCAAATGCTTAGTCATGTTTGCCATACCAAGTGACAAAATGCACAGTTGTTCTTGTACTTAACCTGTCATTGCCAAGGCTGGGTTTTCCATAATGAGGTCATAAATGCAAACATAAGCACAATGGACCAATATTATGATTGCCAAGAGGCAGAATCCAGTAGACAGAAATTAGTCATATCCATACCTAACTTTCCAAAGAAGCTTTCTTTCAAACATGTCAGCAATTAGAGCAGGAATTACTCTGCAGATGACATTCCATCAAGTAACAGTCACTAAGGACTCACCTGCAGCTACTATGATAACATCTGCCAACTGAGTATGGATCTTCAATTGTTCTTTGGGGGTATATCTGTGCGCTATTGTCACAGTTGCATCACCTGGAATACAGAAGAACTTCCATTAATGATTACTAAGCTTTTTCAAATATTGCTAATGCTTTAAATGTCAGTCACTTTCTATGAGCAGGAAAGTTGCTTTGGCATGACTAAATCACTTTAAAGGCAAAAGCTACATTAGGAAATTTAGAACCAAAATACTATACCCTTAACTGAATGAGGGGAAAACCAAACCAGGCTTAATGAAATTAAGTGCTGACTGTCATAGGAGAGCTGAGTAGGATCCTAGAAAGTGGATTTGAAAATCCTCTACTGACTGGTTAATGTACTGGTGCAGGGGACACTCACTGGCTTGATAATGACAGATATTGAAAACAAGATAAGTACATTAACAATGAGATGTATTGTGGAAGTACAGGTGAGAGATTAATTCTGCCTTGAGGACTGTCAAGGAAGGGTTCCTAATGGAGGTGTTATAATTTTTAGGTCTTGAAGCATGAGCAGCACATACTGAGGGAGAGAAAAGGAATTCCAAACTGAAAATAAAGAAGAAAAAAATCAAACCAACTTTAAAATACGTGTTTAGGCAATAGTGAAGAATTCTAGGATGACAGGAAGTTTTCACATGAAAATAATGGAGTGATGGATGAATAAAAGAGATAAGAAACTTCAGATATTTCAGGGTTAAAGTGTGATTCAAAGAACAGGAGTTTGAGAAAGGTGGCAATGAAGCAAGTCAAGAGAAAGACTTCTGGTAAGAATGTGTGAGACATTATCTTCTCTCTTCTCATGGAAGAGGTACAAATGTTACACCATTAGGAATATCAACAAAAGCTACACAATCTCTATTTTTAGGAAACCCAGAAAGCATATTTTCCACAGCCTTCAAAAATACATAAGAATCATCAAAAGCAACAGCTAGCAGCTACTATACCAAACAGGGAGAAAGTTAGCAAAGAAACAGAGTGACAAGATGTTCAGTAGTGGCAGGTCTCTGGAAATGGCATGAAAATATACTTTGTGAAGGTTAAGGGTTCACTCCAAAATACGAAAAATATACCTTTCGTAAAGAATAGGAATAAAAGAAGATGGGCCTTTGGACCCAGTATAGTTCATTTTGGTAATCCCACAAAGGCCCACATAAAAAAGCCATTTCAACAGCAATTGGTCTGACTGAAAACAGTGAAGGAAGACTCAAAAGGCTGCCCAACACCTTCTTGCCTAACCCTCAGCAGTACTCTGCAAATAGCAGATCTAGGAATATCCAATCCAACTCATTCAATGAAGAGTAAAAAAAAAAAAATAGGATTTGACACAGCATCACTGAAAGGACACTATATAAGGGCTAGCTCAGGAAAATTTGGTGGGTGAAAGAACTATTCTCTAGTTATCTGACACATGAAAATGCACTTGTCTAAAATGATAGAAATATGTACATATCAGAAAGTATGTATTTTTATTATAGGCAACTTTTAAATAGGTATTTTTAATATATTTTTTAATTTCAATAAAAGCAGTTTTAGTTTTAATAAATCAAAGAAATGCTAAGGAACTTTGCTTAAACCTTAAAGCTAGGAAACAAGTTAGGATTCTGTTCGAATAGTAGGTACATGAACCTATCAGCAGCTCAAGACAGAATGAAAATCCTTAAAACTGGAAAACAAAACCTAGAAGAAAATCAGCAATGTTTGAGTCAAAAGTCATAAAATTCTATTTTACCAGTTCAGTCTCATATACTTTATCTGCTGCTGTAGTTTGATCTACCCGATTAAATTCTAGGATTTAATATTCAATTCCAGACTTGTCCCTATGATTATGTTGGACATTTTCTTAGTTTTTGAACTCTCATTTCTGTGTGTCTGTATTTAATTTTCTTAATATAGCACTCCCTTGAGAACTTCTTGATGATATGGTCTGGTGTTGGTAAATTCTTTCAGGTTTTGTGTTTCTGAGAATGTTCTTGTCTTTTCTTCCCATATGAAGGATAATCTTGCCAGGTACAGTATTCTTGGATGAAATTGCTTTTCCCTTAACACTTTGAATATATTTTCCCATTCTTTCCTCACTCACATTGTTTCCAATGAGAGATCTGCTGTTAGCCTGATGGGATATCCTTTGTGGGTAACTTGCCATTTCTCTCTTACCAATCTTAGTATCTTGTCTTTGTCTGTGGTTTTGGTTAATCTGGCTATAATGTGTCTTGGAGAAAATCTTCTTGCATTGATTCTATTTGGGGTCCTTTGTACTGCTTGAATCTGGATCTTTGAATGCCTCTCTAGGTTTGGAAAGTTTTCTTCCAGGATTTCATGGAATAGATTATCAATGCCCTTATCTCTTCACCTTCTGGGATACCAATTACACGGATGTTTGGACATTGATCCTATCTAGTATTTCTCATGTATTATTCTCATTTTTTGGACTATTATCTCAGTCTTCATGGTGGATTTTTCTAGGCCAGCAATTCTATCTTCTACCTCTGAGATTTGATTTTCTGTATGATTTAGTCTGCTTTTAATACTTTCAAGGGAGGTTTTGACTTCCTGTATTATAGCCTTCATCTCTAACAGGTATATTTGATTCTTTTTTTTTAATCATGCATATTTCCTCTTTTAGATCTTGCAATAATTTCCTCACCTCCTGAAACTCACCAGATACTTTCTCCTGCCTCTTCTGCAGTTCACTGTCTCTCTTCTCTTCCATCTCTGTTAGTTTTGTCATTATGAATATTCTAAATTTTTTATTGGACATTTCCACAGGTTTCATCATACTGTCTGAGGATGAAGAGAAGTTATTATTTTCCTTGGAGGAGTGGAATTTTCTTGTTTTCCCACAATTCTTGTGACCCTGCTGTGATTTCTAGTCATCTGATGGATGGTGCATTTCTTCCTAATTCTTTATGTTCAATCTGAGCATTCAGAGGCGTGGAGAAGGAAGAGATCTGCAAACTCTCTTCCATTCCATTTTCACTCTTTTTGCATTAGATTCAGTGGGAATAGAGAAATATTCTGACCCTAATCATATTCAGATGTTTGGAAGCTGTTCACTTGGACTAGAAATGAATCTAGAGTAAGAAGTCTCAGCAGAAAAGCTTCATTTTGGGGCAAGGAAATCAATATTTCAGAGCTGAAGTTCAGCATCTATCTCAGGATCTATCTGCAATTGTTTTAAAAGTAAATACAAGAATACACTTAAAAAGTGACAGGACTGGGAACAGCAGACAGTGTAATGGCTACGTCACTGGACTCCCACGTAGTCAACTGCGATTCGAGTTCTGGACCTGGGGCTTAAAACTCACGCCAGGGGACCAACAGATAGCAAAATGGTTACATCCTTGGATTGCCTTGTAGTCTACCACAGTTCAAATCCCAGATCAGGTGGCTTAAACTCATGCTGGGTGTGCGTGTGCATGCATGCATGCCCAAGATCCAGAAAGGAGAATGGAGGAAAAGGGATCGTGGCGTAGCCATCCCTCCTGGGAGGTGATTTCTCACTCTCTTTCTCTTTCTTTCTGGCAAGTGCACACGCCCTGTAGCAAAAACCTCTCCTTAAAAAAAAAAAAATACCACACTGAGGGACCAGCAGATGGTATAATGATAATGTCACTGGACTCCCACATGGCTGACTGCAGTTCAAGTCCTGGATTCTGTAGCTTCAAACTCACACTGGGCACACGTGTGTGCGTGCCCCAAAAAGAGGATGGAGAAAAGGGATTACGGCATGGCCATTTGCCCGGGGGATGATTTCTTGCTTTCTGTCTCTGTCTCTCTCGGTCTCTCTGGTGAGCTCATGCACCCTATAGCAAAAATCTCTACCCCTCCAAAAAACTTTTAATAAAATCTCAAACCTGGTGCATTTCTGTGTGTGTGTGTGTGTGCCCAAAATCTGCCAGGATATTAGGAACACACACACACACACATACACACACACACACACACACACACACACACATTCTCTCTCACATGTTTTTCAAACTACCACAGCTAGGATTCAAAGCATAGTTGGTCATATGGCATCTGACTCCCTTGACCACTAAACTACAGAATGAGCCTTGTATTTGCTGTTTTAAATTAGCTTTTCCTATGCATGAAGATATAGGATATAGAAAATGTAAATAACATAAATAATGATATATATATGATCATAATGTTTCAAACTCTGAAAATAGTTAATACATTTTCATGGGCCAAAAGAACATTTTTACAAAATGGTATAATTTTGACTACAAAGAAAAGGTTTTTTTTTTTTTCTAATTGTCAGAGGATTCATGCACTCACCAGAGAGAAACAGAAAGACAGAGAGGGAGAAAGGAGCCCCTTCCAATGGGATGTGGTCATGTCACAATGCTCTCTCCTCCATTTACCCATCCTGTGAGTATTTGGGCACACACACAAGTGATTGGCATGTCTTTCAAGCCACTGGTGCTGGGACTTGAACCATGGTTGACCATATGAGATTTGGTTTCCTTAACCATGAGGCTCTAGGACTGGCCCAGTAATTTTTAACTGATACTAAAAAGTAGGCAATTATATAAGTCAAAAATAATATTCTTTGATCACAAGTCAATAAAATTATAGTTATAGAAAATCAGAAATAAAAAGGCCCTTTGACTAGACATTTTAAAAATATCCTATTTTAAATAATTATTGGTTAAAAAACACAAAGAAACCTTAAAGAATTCTAGATACATTTATAGCAAAAGCACTTAATAAGAAATGCTATAAAATAAACATAAAGCATGTTAGAGGAAAAAGTATAGACTAATTATATCAACACAAAACTAAGAAAATAAGTAAAGCAATCATTTCATTTAAAAAGTCAAAAAGAAAAAAATAAACAAAATAAATTAGAAAAAGGTTAATTAACATAAAAATTAAAATGTATTTTATAAATAAATCTAAAACTGGAATACTATTGCAAACATTGGGAAAATTCAAAAAATAAAGCAAGTAAAAATGAATGTTCAGAAATAAATAGCATTCATAGATAATGTGCTAAAAGGTTGGAAGAAAGGAGCCCATTATAATAGTAGTACAAAAGATAAA